GTTGTTGGGTGTTGGGGTGGTGTTGGGGTGTTGGAGGGGGTGTTGGGGGGTGTTGGGGTGTTGGGTGTTGGGGGGGATTGGGGTGTTGGGGCGGGTGTTGGGGTTGGGGGGGTGCTGGGGGGGGTGGTTGGGGGGGGTGCTGTGGGGAGTTGGGTGGGTGTTGGGGGGGTGTTAGTGTTAGGGTGTTGGTGTTGGGGGTTGTTGGGGGGTGTTGGGGGGTGTTGGGAGAAGTGTTGGGGTGTTGCTGTTCGGGGGGGTGTTGGTGTTGGGGGGTGTTGGTGTTGGGGGGTGGGTGTTGGTGTTGGGGGGTGTTGGGGAGGGGTGTTGGGGTGTTGGTGTTGGGGGGGTGTTGGTGTTAGGGTGTTGGTGTTGGGGGGTTGTTGGGGTGGGGGAAGTGTTGGGGTGTTGCTGTTGGGGTGTGGTGTTGGTGTTGGGGTGGTGTTGGGGTGGGTGTTGGTGTTGGGGTGGTGTTGGTGTTGGGGGTGTTGGGGTGTTGGTGTTGGGGGGAGGTGTTGGGGGCGGTTGGTGTTGGTGGGGTGTTGGTGTTGGGGTGGGGTGTTGGGGGGGTGTTGCGAAAAACCGAGGCCCTCCTGATTGGCTCACGTCAGCGCCTCCGCACCTCAGGCGCTGACACCATCAGCATCCAATGCTGCACTCTCCACCTCTCAAAGCCGGTCAGGAACCTCGGGGTTCTGTTCGACCCTGAGCTGTCCTTTCTTCCTCACATCCGCACCACAACTGGCACCGCCTTCCATCACCTCCGGAACATCGCCAGACTACGCCACTACCTCACCCCTCACGCTGCTGAAACACTGGTTCACGCCTTTATCACCTCAAGGCTGGACTATGGGAACTCTCTCCTCGCCGGCCTTCCGCCACCTCCCTCCACAAGCTGCAGGTCATTCAGAACTCTGCAGCTCGAAAATCTTTCCAAAGCAATGATTAATATTAGCGGTGTTGATAGAGGCACTTTGGCAAAGTTAACAATAAATTTGTTTCTGGTTACAGTTCATTATTGTGATTGTATTCATCATGTGTGTCATCCTGGCTCAGTGGTGGCACTCGTACCTGAGTCAGAAGGTTGTAGGTTCAAGTCCCACCTCGGGACTTCGAATCACATTGTCTAAGGTGACATTCCAATGCTGCGCTGGGGGGGCCAACCTTTGGATGAGTCGTTAAACCGAGACCCCCATCTGCCTGTTCAGATGGACGTCAAAGATGCCGTGATTTTAGTTTCTCCCAATGTCCTAAAATTGGTCACTCACTCCATAGCTGTTTATGGGACAACAAGAACTTGCACTTTTATAGCACCCTTCACGCGGGGTAGCATCCTGAGGGCTTAAATTGCTATGCACAACTGGCTGCCGTTTCATCTGCAAAATAGTAAAAAGAAACATTTATTGTAAATCCTGTGAAGCGCCATGAGATATCTCGACAACGTGATAATGCAAGGATTATTATTATCATCTAACTAATTACATAGAATTCTTACACAGTTACCCGAACAATAAAATTGCATTTGTATAGCGCGTTTCATATTGGGAGGATGTCCCAGGGCGCTGGACAATCAAGTGTTTCAGACATGAGCTGGGGGCTGGGATCGGGGATGACGGGGGTGGAGAGGCTAGGAGAGTGACCGAAGGCACGGTCGAAGAGGCGGATCTTGATACAGATCTTGAAGGAGGCGAGGGAAGGGTGAGGCGGAGGGACTTCGGGATGGAGTTCCAAAGGGTGGGTGCAGAGTGGATGAAGGCCCGCCTGCCAATGGTGGGGCGGACTAGGAGGGGGATGTAAAGCAGGCTGGAGCTTGCTGAGTGGAGGGAGCGGCCAGGTTGGTAGGGGGTTAGGAGGTCGCAGAGGTGGGGAGGGGAAAGGCCATGGAGGGCTTTGAAAGTGAGGATCAGGATCTTGAACTGTATCCTCTGTGTGATGGAAAGCCACTGGAATCGATCAAGGATGGGGGTGATAGGGTCTCGCTATCCACCAGTTTCTGTTGTGGGAGAGGACACGGGCTGCAGAGTTCTGGATGATCTGCAACCTATGGAGGCAGGAGTTGGGGAGGCCGACAAGCTGAGTTCCTGGATGTTATGAATGCGTGTATGAGGGTCTCGGCGGCCTGCGGTGTGAAAAAGACGGGGAGCCGGGCGATGTTGCGGAGGTGGGGGAAGGCAGAGCAGATCATGGCATGGATGTGAGGTAGAAAGGACAGTTGAGGGTCAAACAAGGCGCCAAGGTTCCAGACTGGCTCGGTGAGGTGAAGTGTGCAACCTTGGATGAACACCCTCATAATTTTAAAGATTTGCATTGGGTTTCCCTGCAACCTTCTCTGTTCCAGCAAAAATAGACTCAGCTCCTCCAATCTCTACTTGTAGGAAAATTCACTCATTCATGGCTTTATACTAGTAAATTGCCTCTGAACCCTTTCTATATACCTCACATCCTTCCTAAAAGGGGGTAACCAAACTAACTGCAGTCTAATAACATTCAACTACAAACCACAGTCAAAAAACATTACAGAAAAACCTCTGAAGTGCTTTGAGACTTTTCAAGGACATCATAAAGCACTATATCAAATGCAAGAACGATTATTGTTTATAGAACTTAAGCATCTCCTCATTTCTTTTGTATTCTATGCCCCTATTTATAAAACCTAGAATCCCATTGGCTTTCTTGACAGCTTTATCTATCTGCCTCCCCTCCATTAAATATTTCTCTGCTGTTCTGTTGCACAATTCGGACATGGGCTGCAATCACCACACTCTCCAGTCATTTACTGAACAAATCACCATGGCACTCAAATTGAAAGGCGAGATCCAAGCATTTCATGCACTGGACAAAATGTACATTGCAAAACAAAACAAATTGAAAATGTGCATCGTGCAGATCACACGTGAAGAACAAGGCTTGAGCGAGGAACCTGGAATCCCTAGAGCTGTACCAAGGTATCACTTAACAGAGTGGAGAAAATTAGAATCAAGCTTATTAAGTAAACAAGTTCTAAAAACATAGAATTTCAAATTTAAGCATGAGTAGTTTTTAGTTATGGATCAAAGTTACATGAATAATAATTTGAGTAGATTGTTACCGCAATATTAGAGTTTACTGCTGTGTACCAATGCAGGGGCTGAAAATTTACAAAACCACAGCTTTGGGGAGGCACTGAAAATAGAAGAACTTGGTAACTGTCAAGTTTAGAAAAAAATATCCTTTATTATATTCAAACCCATTTCAAACAAGGATGAAGACAAATTCTGAACAGTGTTTATGCACATAGTAAAAGGTAACAATGAGGAAAACAAAACATTTTGCTGGACATCAGTTTCACAACTCTCTCATATTCTCCTCCAAATATTTTAAATTCCCCAAATCCACATACTGAAACGCAGCATTTCTTCTTTTTGCCTGGAATGTAATAATTTATCTTGCAATATTTGGTAAATGACAGTGAAAGTTACATTTAAACAAGTGAAAATGTAGTAACCTACAAATAAACAATCATTATACTTTACAGTAAATCCTGTGAGTATATTATTAGGATTATGATTTTTTTTGTCTCAATTACAATGGCTCAATCATCCAACAGTAAAACTCACAAACGACCCTTGTTAAAAACTCATTCACACGAGTGCAGTTTGTGCATTAAGTCTGCTCTCATAAATTTATTTTCTGTGCAAAAGTTTTTGTGCTGGTTGGTGTGTGGTAACGGTATAGCTAAATATTTTAGCTCTGATTGTCTACTATTGGAAAGCTACCCACCAGTTTCTTTTGGAAAGGCTGCATTGCAAATTTAGATTTCATATTAGATTTTCTAAGACATAGCACTCCACAGCTCCCAATTTTCCCTCAAAGCGAATCACTGTTATTGTAAGAAATCTTCCAGTGATATTGCTGGTTTGATCTCATCAATTCTTTTGATCATTCCACATCAGGATTAAAAATAAAGGGGATGCAAGCAGCAACAGACATCTTTCCAATACAATCTTGTGGAGCAGTCAGTGGCCAACAACTAGTCGTTAAGCCTACATTGGTCAACAATGCCCCCCAAAAAATTGGTCATTGACTTCAAGGCTGTTTGTCGGACTTTGCTGGGCGCAAACTGATTGCCACATATTCTGGAAGACTGGAATCCTGGAAAATGTCTTTTTCAAACCTCTGGTTTAATGGCCCATATTGGCCAATGCAGCGAGATAGAAGATCTTCGTATTGTTGAAAATCAGAGCTTTGCAAAAAGGTGGAAACAATAAATGTTTACTGTAGTGGTGGAGGTGGTGGACACCACAATGGCATCACCAGACAACAACGAACAACACGCCTTATATTTGTTATAGCGCCTTAACATGTCAAGAGCATCTTTCAGAGAGCTTCAGAATTTACCGTGAAGTTCAATGACTATATATTTGTAAGTATATAATCTATAATTTAAATTTTCTCAAACTGCAAGCAAAGTAAACTGTCCTGGAAGAATTGTTGTGACTATAATAACTGTTTAACCCAAGTAACCTTAGTCAACTGCTGGCCAATGCAAACCATGTATTACTTTAGCATTTTTAATCACCTAACACAAGTGATCAAACTATATATAATTTGGAAAGTATATTTTTAATCTCTTAATCTGAAAATATGAATTTAATACATATAATTGTCCAAATGGTTACAATATACATGCAGATCCTAAATTGTTTTGTTGTATAAATGTTTTTAAAAAATTCGAAATACTAGGTTGGAAAGGAGGCAAACTCTTGCAAAACATGTAAAAATAGGATTTGTTTTTAAACATGGAGAATCTCAGAAGCGCAGTAAAGTACAGTTAAATTACCTAAATCAATGGTACAAATTTATCATCAGATTTCAAAAAATGCCTAAAATCCAAAGTCAGACAGAAAACAGGAGAGCAATTTCCATCAACATGCAGTCCAGCTATTTTACCCTCTCAACAAGCATAAGGTCCAACAGCAGTTTAGTTGTATAAAATTTTACTGTACAAGTTTCACTTTATCTTTCAAAAGTCTAAATTTGGGATTACTGCTTATCTTCTTGTTGAAGGTTGCCAGGAGTTGCTCCTCGGACTTGAAGTTACTGTTACCACACACGGCATAATACTGGGACATTACCTGCAAGAGTTCAGATGAAATCATAAGCGAGAGATTTCCAGATTGCAATCTTGGCAATTGTAGCACAGAAGGAGGTCACACAGACTATCCATCCAACTCCTCCACCGGAGCCAACTACTCTCATCCCAAATGTTTTCCCCATCTACACTCCTCTTCAAACATTTATCCAATTCCCTTTTAAATGTTATGATGTTATGGTCTTAGTCTTGATTGCCGATTGTGGCACAGTATTCCATATTCCAATGACTGTGTAAAAATGTTTCTTTTAACCCCCCCCAACTATTTCAGCTAATCCCGATTTTACATTCTAGCACCATAAAAAAAACAATTTTAACTATTTAAATTGCAACAAATATTACATGATGTGTGATGTAGACTAATCGGCCTTCCCGGCACCTCCCTCCACAAGCTGCAGGTCATTCAGAACTCTGCAGCTCGTGTACTGTCCCGCACCAGGCTTCGCGACCACATCACTCCCACCCTCGCTCGCCTCCACTGGCTCCCCATCCCCCAGAGGATTGAATTCAAGATCCTCATCCTCACCTTTAAGGCCATCCACGGCCTTGCTCCCTCCTACCTCTCCGACCTACTATCCCCCTACTTACCTGTCCGTACCCTCCGTTCCTCTGACTCTGGTCTGCTCCACATCCCCGCCCAACCGCCCTACCATCGGTGGTCGGGCCTTCAGCCTCTCAGCCCCGAGGCTCTGGAACTCCATCCCCCAGTACCTTCGCAGCCTCCTCCCTTTCCTCCTTCAAGGCCGGTCTCAAGACCTTTCTCTTCAACCGTGCCTTCAGCTCCCCTCTCGACTCTCTACCCCCTCCTCGCTCCCTCCCTTCCCTCCCCTCACCCTGACCATTTCCCCCCAATGCTCAGGTCCCGACCCAACTGTCCAGCGCCTTGGGATGTCCTCCCGACGTGAAAGGCGCTCTATAAATGCAATCTTGTTGTTGTTGTAATCATTAGAAGAACCAAAAACCAAATAGACACAAAACGTGATTCTACAACCACAATTTCACATGGTCTATCTTGATATCACTACATTAAATGCCATGTTTACACAGCTGCAATAGATTTTTTTTATTTAAAAAAAGAAGCTGAAACAGAACATACCTTCTTTCTTAGTCTTTTAACAGGTAGTTCTTGGTCTGAAGATTGCTGTAGCACAGAACTGATGGTCTTTTTCCAGTTGAATTTTTCTGAAGTAAAATACAGTCAGTTGATGAAACAATATAAATTTCAAAGATACACAGATAGTGTTTTTAAAAAAAAGTTTTGCATTTCCAACAAACATCTTAACAAACGCGCAGTAGGTTAAAAATAAACACACCTGCAGACAAAATCAGTTATTGAGTTTCGGGTGAGATTGAAAGCAAACTCCTATTGGCTTTCTGATGATTATTATCATCATCATCATCAATAAATACCTTGCTTTTCTTCATCACTTTCCTTCACTTCCTCAGTTTCAGTAACTTCAGCTTTCTTCTGTTTGGATTTGGGCTCATCTGTTTCATGCAGAAATTGAATGACAACAGCAAGTCACAAGGCTGTTTGTGGAAAAAGACAGCAGCTCTCCATAGTAGGCTGCACAATGAAAAGCAGGATGATTCTGGACAATTATACCGACAATAGTTAATAACAGGTGTGGGAATCTTTAACAGCAACATGTACCCAAGCAGTTTTCACATACAGGAATTCATCTCATTCAAGATCGTAGCATGTTGTTTCACTGTGCTGAAAATTCAAAGGTTTTGTGTTGTGTTAATCAAGGTCAGAATTCAGGACGTTTTCCTTTATTAATTTGATGACACTTTTACATTACGAGGCAACTCCTCACGGTTCCTTTTCCTGGTGTTGGATTTTCCAAAACCCTATTTGGTCTTCTGGTTCATCCACGTTCAGGAGTTCAGACTTTTCATTAGGGAATTGGGACTTATGGATCACGGACGCAAGCGCTCATTTCCAGCTGTGCGAAGCCAGTGTTAAGGTCCACACATCACTACTATCGATTTAATCCAAACACAAATTGAAAGGATTGAATTGTTTACACAGTTTATAGGCTAAGTACTACACAAATATGGAGTCCTGTAGCTCAGTGGTTAGTGCACTCGCTTTGCAAGCGAGAGACCTGGGTTCGATTCCCGGCAGGGTGAAACCTTGGGCAAGTTTCCTTACTGCACACGGCTGATAATAATCCCTCCAAAACAAAACAATAATAAATTGGTCATTTTCAATCCACGACTGTTTGTGGGACACTGCTGTGCGCAATTGGCTGCCGCGTTTCGCCCACAAATATATAGTCAATTCACTTTATAGTTTATTCTGTGAAGCGCTTTGAGATGTATAGAAGACGTAAAAAGCGCTATATCAAATGCAAGGATTATAAGGATTATAAATATATTGTGGTTTGGAGTCAACAATTATTCATATTCTTCTCTTACAGGATAGAAGCCCTAATTACCCACCTTCAGAGGGATTGTCACGTTTGCGTTTTTTGTTCTTCAAGCTTTTACCCGCCTGTTGTGCGTGACATTCAATGGTCTGGGTACCATTCTGTTCCACTTCACCGTCTCTACCTTTGATCCGCTGCTTTTTGTTTGTTTTCTTCGTCTTGCTTTCCAGACTATTCACCTCGGATTCTGCCTCTAGCTTTCTGCCATTTTTATCTTCTTTTAAGCTCAAGTCTTTCTTTTCTTTTTTGCCTTTCTTTTGCCTCTCTTCTTTTTTCTCTCGTTTGCTCTTTTTCTTCTCTTTGTTGTTTTCTGCACAAGCTTCACCCTGGTTCACTTCTAATGCCTCCGACGTCGCTTGGCTGTCCTCTGAGGATTTCTCTGCCTGCTGCTGGTTGCTTGGCTCCTTAACAAAAATGGGACACGTTCTATGTCAACACAGCAGAATTATTAAACCACATAGCAGTGAAAGAGGTGCCAAATTTGTATTATGTACATCTGCAAGTTTTAGAGCTTAATATTTACAGGAGTTCTGCCCCTAATTTTTCCACCCCACCCCCAACCATCCCCCACTCTTTACCAGGACTCAATGGACAGCGTCTTAGGATGTCTCCTGACGTGAAAGGCGCCATACAAATGTAATTTGTTGTTGTTGACAGCAGGCAGGAGTTGAAACACTGACTAATTCTTTGTGTCTCCAGTGCAGGGACTCCCCACCATTTCTTCAGCTGACATTCAGCACAGATGGTCCTTTGAGAACAACAATAATTTGTGTTTCTTTAGTGCCCTTAATGCAGGACAGAGTCTCTGCTCTGTAAGCTAAATTTATGTTTGCAACAGCTCTCGAGTCTGGAAACTATTTGAGAAACACATTCCTTAGTGTCCATCGCCCCCTTCAGGCACATTGAGGTAGCATAAGGATTTTGGCAAACAAATGCTACCCATTTTGGGGATGGTGGGGAGAGGGATTTTTTTTTAAAACAAATGCTTTCATGAAAATGTTTTACCTAAACCTGTCAGACATTGTATCTTTATATAATTAATAATACGACAGATATTGTGGTAAATCGTTCAGCTATTCTGCCCCCGCTCTATGGAACTCCATCCCAGACTTCCTTTGACTCAGCTCCTCCCTACTTTGAAAGCCCACCTCAAGACATCTCTTTGACAATGTTTTTGTTATCTTTCCCCCCTCCTCCACAATGCTCTTCAGTGACGACCCCCTGTGGGGTAAGGAAACTTGCCTAAGGTTTCGCCCTGCCCAGGATTCAGACCCGGGTCCTCTCGCTTGCAAGGCGTGTGCTCTAACCAATACACTACCGGACTTACAACAGCCAATGTTGCAAATAAAGTCAGTTTTCTATGGTCACATGTTATGCTCACTCCCCGGGGAGATGTGGTTGTCACTTACGAAATCAAATAAAACAATTCAAAATAAGAATTGAAACCAGTTGGCAATCCAGATATTCATACCACATCTTGGGGTAAAAGTGGGTGTTGGAGGTGGAAGTTAATTTTCAAGTAGTGACAACAAAAATCAACATTATACCACTAGAGGAATACAGTTACACTGTTGCTCAGCAAAGGTAAATATACCCTTGTAGGAAAACAGCCTACGAAATGCAAGGGAGTAAAGCTTTGAAAAAATCATCCAGTTAAATTGGTCAATCACCTCTTAGCTGTTTGTGGGGATGTTGCTGTGCATAAATTTGCTGCCATGTTCCAAGGACAGAAGAAATTCTGCAACTCATTGAGATGTTTTGATGTAAGGATCTATATCAAGTGCAAAATTTATTATAGGAATATCCACACGTGATGGGAGAGAAGGTAAGAAAGGAAGCAAACGTATGATTATAAAGTAAAGTTCAATTACTAGCTCTGGAACAAAGAGTTTCAACAGGTTTCTTTTAATCTTGTAAATGGAGGATTTGTAGGGAAGGGGAAAAATCATCCATCAGATCATGTGCAGAACTAAAGAAAAAGGAGTCTGCAGGGCTAATGCCTGGGGAATCCTGGGATAAGAGTGCTTAGATTATTGTTGTAGCCTAGATATTGCCATCTATCGACTAGTCCCAGACACTTACATAGGCTCGCATGCAGGTGTTATTTTGAGTGCTATTTGCTCTTCTCTTGCCCATTGGGTGATGGAGGGATATGTTCATATCCCAAAGGTGTAAGAGTGACCTTCGTCATTCTGCTTTAAAAGAAATTCATAAACTCCTGCAGGCATCGTGTTTGAAGAAACTTTGCAACTTCTGTGACTTACTTTGGCGATCGCAGTAGTGAAGATCTCCCACACCTGCTCCTGCAGAATCTGATTCTGGATCCTCAAACTGTTTTTCATCCAATTCTGCACACAATGTAAACAGATCTAAATATATCTTTATAAATATTCAATCATTCATCTCTGCAGAGTTTAGGTTGCAGCAATTTGATGTTTCCTCAGACAAACTACTCCTTTCACTCAAAACGTGGCATTTTAATTTGGGTTATTTGAAAGTTGATACATTGCTGATTTATCAATTTGCACATCAATTTAAAAAGGAGTTTTGAAAATCTACAGCTTCAAGCCTGGAAATTATCAGCGTACATTGAGCGTCTTAAGTTTAAGATATCACTCAATCATATATTTAATAATGTAGTTTAAGACCACTGATTTTAATAAGACACGACTCTAATTGCATGAATCAATTTATTATTAGAATAATAAATAATAATCCTTACATCTGATATGGTGCCGTTCACGTTGTGGGAATATCTTAAGGCTCTTTATAGTATTTTACTGTATGGTATTTTAGGCAAACACAGAAGCCAATTTGTGCACAACAATGCCCCACAAATAGCCATGAAATGAATGACTTTTCTCTGGGAGATTGTTGGCTGGAATACCGGGAAAAACTCCCTCTCTTTTCAAGTAGTGCCACAAGATCTTTAACTTCCACTTGAATAGGTGAACAAAATCTCGGTTTAACGTCTTGTTTGAAGGACAACGGAAAGAACAGATTTTAAACAGGACTTTCCACAAGAGCACTGCAAGATGTAAAGCTTCAGTTTAGTGTGGCATAACATTAACTACATGTATTGCAAAGCCATGGCTGGTATTTATCTATGGCGATTGATTATCAGGGCACTCACTCTGCATGGCTGTTAAAGATTGTTATTGTTGAAATAATTGATTTTGGTATAATAGTTTGCCTACAAAATACTCAGTCAATGTAAATCCTGTGAAGCGATTTGAGACGTCCTCCCGAAGTGAAAGACACTATATCAGATGCAAGATTATTAATAATAATAATTATTAAATGCCATTATATCCACCAGAAATGTAGCTTTAATTTCCAGAAATAATATGTTGCTTTCAGAAATACTCATGATCCAGTTTTTTCTCTGCTGATCTCAACCCATAGATTCATGATATAGATTCAAAAATGTTTGACTAACATTGCATTAAAAAGGGAAATTAGACAAGTACAAACCTGAAACTTGACTTTTTTTCGTGGTACGTTATCATAAGAACTGATCTGCTCTAGAATTTCACGAACTTTGGCACTGACTTTTGAGTTATCCATAGCTTCATGGACTTTCTGTATACATAAAAAAAAATAAACTTAAAGATACATGCAACTATAAATACAAACATGCCCACTACATTTTCTAAGTTATAAATGATAATTATGCAGTTTTCACCATCAACTATGCCTTACTTTACAAACGTTAAATTGCAGTAAATACACCATTGCAAATAAAATGCAATTTTATAGTAAATTCTACAGCCTATAGTTATAAAAAAATACAATCACATACTGGGGCTCAGTTTGAAAATTCAATAAATGAACGATAATTCCCTCACAAATACACAGTCAATACATTTTACAATATATTCTGTGAAGTGCTTTGAGAGGTCTCAATAATAATTCATAATAATCCTTGAATTTGATATAGCGCCTTATCACATTGTCGAGACATCTCAAAGCCCTTCACAGGATATACTGTAAAGTGGATTAACTGTTTATTTTGTGGGTGAAATGCGGCAGACAGTTTGCGCACAGTAATATCCCACAAACAGCCTTGGTAGAAAGAAAAAAAAACAATGACAGATTAAATGCAGGTAACTTTTTAAAAACACTTTACTTTTAGCGAAAATTGTGTTTCAGTTTCTCACACCAAGTGATTCATAGGAACCAACTGAGACAAGCTTAGCCATCTTACCTGTATCCACTCTTGTTGTTTCACATCTCCTTTATGGGCCTTGGCTTCAAAACCCTTACCACCATACTTTTCATCTTCAGTAATGCATTTAATATGAGTCTTGTAATCCTCTCCCCTGTAAATAATAACAGATGTTGATTTAGCGCAGGGAAAATAAATCACAATTAGGTGAACAGCGAATCTAAAATCTGTGCCTTTTATTGTCTGAAAGTGCCCTCCTTACAGCAGTATCCAAACATGAATTATATAAAATAATTGAAATATCTACCCAATGTAAAAAGAGATTATACTATTCAATTTTCAGTTCTGGTTGATGTGTATGGACAGAATGCTATATTGTACGTGGTGCTTTACATTGTGTAACCTATCCATTTCAGAACTGCAGGAGAATCACACTGTACTTAAGTGACTGGGACAAACAAACGAGTTGTTGGCAGTGATATTTTGATGCAGTTGGTGGTACAGCACCTGTAACAGCCATCTGAATCTTCAGAGCAGTTTAACGTCTTACCCAAAGGAGGGCACCACCAACACTGCAGGACAACCTCTGAACAGCAAAGGAATGTAGGTTAGATTATGAGCTTACATCCTGGTGTAGGGCTTGAACTAACAACCTACTGATCCAGAATCAAGCGTACGTACTACCAACTGAACCAAATGACATTGCTCACATTCTAAATTTTCACTTCTCAAAGCTTTTGTGCAGCAAAACCTCTACAACCACAAGGCATTTCCAGAATTGTAAAGGCTTTGGTACTAAACCTTGAAAACCAGGCGTTTCAATGAAAAACTAACATTCAGGGTAGTGAAATGTTGTGTCAGAACCTAAACACCATACAGTATCAAGGAGCATACACCTACTGATACATCCCTGGAATACTCAATACTCAATTCATCTGCTCGAGTGCAGTTTCATCGTAACACCCACACTCTCTCAACTGGATATAGCATATTGTGCAGAGACCCAAGAAAATGGGAAAACAAATGCAGACCCATTTATAGAAAAACAGCTAATTTTAGAGTCACCCCATTATGAAATCCTTACCAAAAGTCCTTGCCACAGTCAATGCATGACAGACACGTACAGTTCCGACAACTGTTGACATGTTTTTCCACTTGAGTCTTCTTTACAGATGCCCCACAATCGCTACAGATGAAAACGACCATCTTACTTTACTTCAGGCAACTTTTTCACACACCCCAAAGCGATGGCCTGGTTTAAGCAAAAATAAAAAAACATTTTTAAAAAGGGAATACGCAATGATAATAATTATAATATATTACCCTCCAATTTCTACTTCTGATCTTCTACTCCTGGGTCTGAAAAACAGGCTACAATACAACGTGATGCTCTGCCTATTCAACCTTTCAGACCAGAAGTGAACCTGTAGCAAAGCAAATATCGGGCATTAAACAAAAGGCAAAAGACTGCAAATGCTGGAAATCTATACTAATAAAGACGAAATGTCTGTCTGTCAAGAACATAATAACCAACTGACTTAGAGATATGATACGTGGAATCCTGTAGCTCAGTGGTTAGAGCGCTCGCTTTGCAAGCGAGAGACCTGAGTTCAATTCCAGGCAGAGGGCGAAACCTTGGGCAAGTTTCCTTACTCCACACAGAGCCTAATAATAATCCCTCCAAAACCAAAAACAATAATAAATTGGTCATTTTCAATCCATGACTGTTTGTGGGACAATGCTGTGCGCAATTGGCTGCCGCGTTCGCCCACAAATATACAGTCAATTCACTTTACGATATATTCTGTGAAGCGCTTTGGGACGTCTATAAGACGTGAAAAGCGCTATATCAAATGCAAGGATTATTATTATTTTATTATTATTTATACCTCATTGGAAAGGTTTTGCATTGGTGGCGGTGAGGGGGGGGGTGGGGGTTGGGGGGGCGTCATGGGCATTTTTTTTCTTGGGGATCTCCTATCTTTGATGAGCTATATTAAAAAATCCTCTAAACCCCCAAAAAGGTATGCATGGTATCCTGCAGCAAAGTAGTGACACAGGGCACACACCCTTCTAGTGACAGATCTATACTAATAAAGGCAAAATGTCTATGTGTCAGGAGTGTTCCCAACCAGGAGTCTGCCCAACCAGGAGTCTTTCCACTGAGTCTTCGGGCCGAGTCCTCCCAACAGGAGTCCTCCCAAAAGGATATGTGTGCAAATATGTGAACAAGGGATGCTGACGAGTTCAATAACACATTTTCTTAACTTTAAGCAAAGATCACGCCTTTCAAGGTCAAATAAAATGTCAGATGAAAGTGAGGCCGATTAAATGAAACCGGTTGCGAGCGTAGCTGCAAGGAAGCAATAACCGATGGACGTATTGACATGATTTATACCTCATTGGAAAGGTCTAGCATCGGGGGAGTGTCATGGGCATATTTTTTTTTCAGGGATCTCCTATCGTTGATGAGCTATATTTAAAAAATGCTTTTAATTCAGCCCCAAAATGAAGTATGCAAGGCATTCTGCAACAAAGTGGCAAGAGGAAACGACACACCCTTTGAGATACATCTATACTAACATATTCTGCAACAAAGTAGCACAGAGAAAAGCTATGACCTAAACATGCTCATCACACATGTATGCATTGGTGGGGGTTGGGGGGGGGGCGTCATGGGCATTTTTTTTTCTCGGGGATCTCCTATCTTTGATGAGCTATATATTAAAAAAATGCTTTCAGCCCTCAAAGTGATGGAAGGAGTTGGCGGTGCAGCCAGAAAAGGACTCTTGTTGTCGTTGTCGCTGCTGCCGTTGCCGCCGCCGCCCTCCCTGGACATAAGGCGCCATCAGTCGCTCTTACCTCAATCCGCACAAAGAAAAAGAAAAAAGATAAAGTCCTTCTCTTTTTCGAGCGATGGGGTTTGCCTTCAGGACGGAGGGAACCACACAGACTTGAGGCGATTTCCCGCTCCTTCGCTGACAGACGGCGGCTCCAGTCGCAGCTCTCAGGGTTACAGGCGCATCCCACACGTGTGTGTGTGTGAGTGAGTGGGGGAGGAGGAGGGAGGGAGGAGGGAAGGAGGAGGGAAGCGACCGGAAAGGTGCGGCACCTCGTCTGTTCCCTGCTTGGCCCCGACCGTGCAGAGTGGTTCCGGACTGAAGTGGCCCGCGTGTCCGTGTCCGTCTCTGCCCCGTGTGTTGGTGGCTGTGTCGGGATGATGTGATGTGATGTGATGGGAGGAGGCGGAGGAGGAGGCGGCGGCCGAGCAGCAGCAGCTGCAGGTGAGGAGGAGGAGGAGGAGGAGAAGGGGAGCGCGCGGCGCCGGGGGGGGGGGAGAGCCGCCAGGCGATTGGAACGCGGGCCCCGGGGAATGGAACGCGGCCCCGGGAAATGGAACGCGGCCCCGGGCGATTGGAACGCGGCCCCGGGAATGGAACGCGGCCCCGGGCGATTGGAACGCGGGCCCCGGGGAATGGAACGCGGCCCCGGGAATGGAACGCGGGGCGGCCCCGGGGAATGGAACGCGGGGCGGCCCCGGGGAATGGAACGCGGGCCCCGGGAATGGAACGCGGGGCCCCGGGCGATTGGAACGCTGGCCCCGGGGAATGGAACGCGGGGCCCCGGGGAATGGAACGCGGCCCCGGGCGATTGGAACGCGGGGCCCCGGGAAATGGAACGCGGGGCCCCCGGGAATGGAACGCGGCCGCGGGCGGGCGGGCCTGGGCTCGGTGCAGACTGCATCGCCCTGTCGTGTCCTCTCTGCTTTTTATCTTCCTTTCTCCTCTCTCTCTCTCTCTCTCTTAATTTATATATTATATATATGTATATATATAATGTATGTGCACACACACACACACACACACACACAGAGGGTGACCAAAAAGTCGTGATACCATTTCCATGTCTAATAAGTCTTAACGAAATGATGATGGTATTTGTTTTAGACAATAGAGCAGCTTCAACACTTTTTGGTCCCTCTGTGTATGTGTATATACTATATATATGTTTGCTGTGTGTCTGACACATATGCAGAAACCCATCACCGTGTATTCAGTCAGACCTTTGCATTACACCTACACGTGGGAATTCCAGGATTCCCATAAATGCATATGAATAAAGAATAGAGACTGTATTGTATAATAACAATACATGTATTGTATATGCAATTCCCTGTACCCTCCACCCTGGGCAGGAGCTACCTGTGTTTTATCTCTTCTGTGTCTGATTTAGCCCCCGGGTGGCTGTTGGAACAGAGCTGATTGGGGTTCATTTGAAACGGCATTGGATAAGTTGTTGTAATAATACCTATAAGATAATAACAATAGTTATAATGATCATATTTCGCCCACAAAATATACAGTCAATTCAATTCACTTTGTGGAGTCCTGTAGCTCAGTGGTTAGAGCACTCGCTTTGCAAGTGAGAGACCTGAGTTCAATTCCAGGCAGAGGGCGAAACCTTGGGCAAGTTTCCTTACTCCACACAGAGCCTAATAATAATCCCTCCAAAACCAAAACCAATAATAAATTGGTCATTTTCAATCTACGACTGTTTGTGGGACATTGCTGTGCACAATTGGCTGCCGCGTTCGCCCACAAATATACAGTCAATTCACTTTACAGTCTATTCTGTGAAGCGCTTTGGGACGTCCTCCCGACGTGAAAAGCGCTATATCAAATGCAAGGATTATTATTATTATTATTATTTACAGTATATGCCGTGAAGTGCTTTGAGACATCTCAACGACGTGATAAGGCGCTGTATCAAATGCAAGGATTATTATTATTATAAGAGTGTGTGGAGGATGGGATTTAGAGTTTATGGGGCAAAGAGAGGGGAATTGAAATTAGTAGAAAATGCAAACACTGACACTAATACAATGGGTTGAATGGCTTCCTGCTGCGCGGTGGAGTTTTCCGGTTCAAAGACTTGTTTGACCAGAGTTCTCACGAAGAATGGACAGGAGCTGACCTTAGCTTTGGGTTGATTATTGCTGACTATCTCCGTATTCTGCAGCTTTGATGCTTTACACTGGAGGTGCACAACCTGTCAGTAAGTTAGTACCCTTCCTTCTGATTAGATCTCCAGTAACTAGTTGTTCCTGTATACATTCTTTCAGTTCAAAGAATAGATCGTTTTTGGAGGAGATAGAAAAACTCACTGATCGTATATAAATTTTATTTTAAGATTCGTAAATAGGTTTTTCCAACTTGTTTGTTTCAAGAGAAGTACTGTAAACAGAATGTCGGGAAAACCTTCTGTTTTTGTATTGTGATAATTCTTTTACTTACCCTTTCAAAGTCTGTGTCTTTATATCAAAATTTATGATGTTCTGTTAGCATTTGGAATTAAAAGCTTTTTTTAAATTGGAAAATGAGCTGGTGGGATTGTCCATCTGTTTCCTTCCTTATTTTGTGGAGACTGAAGAGCGATTTCTGGTGTTTTATTGTTGGCCTGAGTTAGTCTGAGCTTGATTGTTTGGGCATACGTAGACAGTGCATGCTGGAGAATAGGCTTGAAAAGAGCAAAGCCCAGTACGGCTGAAATTTGTAGTATCCAAGAAAGGCTAAACTGAGGGGTCATTCAATAGAGTTAAGTCAGACAATCGTATAATGGGCAAATGTTAATGATAAGTAACATGGCCCGTTATTTAAATTAAAACTTAAGTTCTGCTTCTTTACTTGGAGGTGCAGAATTTTATACTTCAAACACTAAACATGTTAAATTTCTGAAGCAGTTTCCTTCTCAGCGCCTTGGATGTCCTCCCGATGTGAAAGGCGCTCTATAAATGTAATTTTGTTGTTGTTGTTCTCAGTGCACCACTGCAATACTCACATCCCAATGGATAAACATGACCGAAAAGAAAAGGATGCCGTAAACCAATTGTTTTGGGGGTGCAAAACTGCAGGGAGCTGCCTAATGTATAATTTTGCTCATTCACATGAAATTACTGAACACTGTTCCTTATGAAAGTAGTGCAGAAAACTATTTTGGAGCAGAAAGAATGCAGCAGACATTTTAGATTGGTTTCCAGCTCCGAATAGCTTTGCGCCTTATATGGTTCAGTGTCGTTGAGTATCATCATACAAATAAAATCACAAACTATTCCAGTGTTTTTCCATCTTCCAAATCTCTTGTTAACTGCAGTTTTTTTTCGGTCCTAGGTTAGTTAAAGGATGGCGATTGATTCCCTAGCAAATCACAGCTGTCACCTTCTTCAGCAGCTCCATGAACAGCGCATCCAAGGCTTTCTATGCGACTGCCTGCTGGTGGTGAAGGGTGTTTGCTTTAAGGCTCATAAGAATGTATTGGCTGCATTCAGCCAGTACTTTAGGTGGGTAAGCTGTGAATATTTGGGAAACAAAGAATATTCTATATTTTTACAAAATAAATCTGTACTGTGATTAGCAACAACTTGAATTTATATAATGTCCTTCACATAATGTCTCAAAGAGTTTTACACTGCCGGATACTGGGCAGGATGTGAGACTGGGTTTAGAGAATAGGGTGAACATAGTCATGGTGATAGAGAGAGGTTTTTGATGGCCTTTGAAGACGGGTAGAGAAGGCTACTGTGAGGATTGGTCTGTCACTTAATTTCTCAACAAAAGAAAAATAATATTCCTATTTCACTGGATTTGTTTCTTTTTGCAAGCTCAATTTGATGCCCGTTGACTCTAGTTCGGTATTTAGACATTTAAATAATCTAGAAATTGTAAACGCTTTCCTCATTTTGATTCTTTTTAAAACCTGAAGTATGACATTTCTGTCCTGTACCATGGCCATTAACCTTTTAAAATCTTCAGTACGCTTGCCTCTGGGTCAGAAGGTTGCCCTGACAATTCAGCATTTTCTCAGTAGTGGACTGGAATGTCAGTCTTGACAATGAGTCCAGCCTTAGTTTCAATCCAGTGTATCCTGTGAAGCTCTTGTAAGACATCTCAATGACGTGATAAGGTGCTATATCAAATGCAAGGATTATTATTATTTATTATAGAGCTTGAACTTGTAGCCTTCTCACCCATAGGTGAAGGTGCTACCAACTTAGCCAAACAAATAATAACCCTTTGTATGTTGTTACAGGACGTTATTTCAGAATTGTTCTGGTCAGAGCCGTGACGTCTTTCATCTGGACATTAAAAACGTTGGTGGCATCGGACAGATCCTGGATTTCATGTACACATCTCATCTTGATCTTAATCATGAAAATGTCCAGGCCATGTTGGATATTGCCCAGTGCTTACAGGTACCCAATGTCCTCAGCCTGTGCTATACGTTCCTAAAGACTTCGACAAGTGTTCTAGGTGTGCCTGGGAGCATGCCAGCCGGTCCCGCTGTTTCTCTGCATGAAGGACTGACCACCGATACAGAAGACCTGCTGGAGGATAACGAAAACGCCCAGATGAGCCGCGACTGCCAATTTGGGCTACAGATCCAGGGTCACAAAGCTCAGGAGCTGGGCCTTTTATACAGACATCTTCCTGATACTTCCCAAGCCGAAATATCAGCAACGTTGCAGAACCAAATTCCGGGACAAATACCAGACAGGAATTCTTCAGATTATCCAGTCAGACAGAGCTCGCAGCCTTCCAAAGTCTACAGTTGTTACGGGAAAGAAACGTTTAAACAAAACCCAGCTCTTTTTTTTAACAATAACCAAGGAGCGCGGAGAAGAGCAGTGTGTGACGGGTTAAGTGCGACACCAAGTGCGAAGGATGGACCTCCCTTGGAACATGCGGAGGGCAACACTGCTGGGCACGAACCTTCGCTGTCGGGAACTGTCGCTCACAAAGAAGGCAGGTGGTCCTTCAACCAGGATGGAGCAGAGATAGACCCGCAGCCTGTTAGACCACTGAGCCACTTGAAGAAGACGATTCATCTTAAGAAGTATGATTACCTACGGTCTCAGAAGCTGCCTGAACCGCCACCACCTACGCAACCCCGAGCAAATGAAACCAGCGAAGCAGCGAGGAGCGACGAGCTCAGTTCAAGCAAAAACTTTGTAGAGGATCAGTGCAAAGACTGTCATTCTGGGACGAAAGAGGCAGTCGATCAAGAAGTCACCAAGTCATGTGTCTCACCTTTGAGGGAGGAGGGGCTGGTACTTGTTGATTACGAAACTCCTGAGTTTTTGGAAGATGCAACTGACCAGCCATTAAGTAGCTTGAACGTTCAGTCCCAATCTTGTCACTCCCAGAAGCAATATTGCTGTGAGTTGTGTGGGAAAACATTCAAGCACCCAAGCAATCTGGAACTGCACAAGCGTTCTCACACAGGTACAGTGAAGATGTGGCAATGTACTGAATTCTTGATTTGTTTTTTTTTCACAAATAATATTCCTTGCACTTGGTGTAGAACCTTATAATATTGTCGAGTCGTCTCAAGGCACTTCACAGGATTTATGGTGAAGTGCTGCGACTGTGTATTAAAAGGCGAATAAAGAGACCAATGTTGTGCATCACAATGGATGGTCAATGGAAATTGCAGGCCAGGACCCAGACAAACTCCAGTCTCTTTTTGAATGCTTCTCTCATATCCTTGCCCACCAGATTACCCCTGGCTCCATCCTTATCAGCCAGCCACAAATAGAGTCACACTATAGCTGTAATGCTCACCCACTCACAAAGAATAATATCTTGAATAGATCATCTTAGAAAAACTTGAGTGGGAGCCCAAGCTGTGAGGGAATAGGGAAGTTGCAGATACGGAGGAAAGCAAATCTGGTCAGAGCCCACTTTAAAAGAGAATTCTGAGTCGTTCATTCCAGAATCACATAAGTGTAATTTATTATATTACACTGTGTTCAGTAAAGTGTCGAATTCATTATTATATCAGGAGTAAAAAAAACACTGGCATGAAAGGAAACTAGGTACAAATAGCTATTGACTAATGAGTTACATGTCAATATGTCAAGAGGAACCCCAAGCTCTTCTCCATCACCAACCGGTTCTTCTGCCCACCCTCTCATGCCTCGCCTATCCTCTCCTCCAATGCCAACTGCGAGGAGATGCTGGACTTACTCAAAACCAAAATCAAGGGAATCCGCTCAGCTGCCCCTGCTCTTCCAACCACTACCCCCTCCCCATCTCCCCCTCACACCCCAGCCCCTACCCATCCCTCCCACCTTCGAACCCCCCCCAACTTTCTCATCACCACCAGAACCCACATGAAACCGCTCACCTATGCCCTTGACCCCATCCCTACTCCTCTCCTACCGCCCAGCTCCACGTCCTTGCCCCCTTACTCACAGACATCATAAACCTCTCACTGTCCACTGGCACCATTCCCACCCCATTAAAAACTGCCATCATCATTCCTATCCTTAAAACATCCCTCCCTAGACCCACCACTGTTCTCAAACTACTGCTCCATCTCCAAACTCTCTTTTCTCTCCAAGGTTCTGGAACGGGATGTTGCTTCCAAACTTCGCTCCTTCCTCTCCCGCCACTCCCTTCACAAACCTCTCCAATCGGGTTTCCGTGACACCCACAGCATAGAAACACCTTTGGTCAAAGTGACAAATGGTATTTTGTCCATCTGCAAACTGGGTTCCCTCTGCCTCCTCATCCTCCTTGACCTCTCTGCTGCATTCGATACTGTTGACCACTATCCTCATCCACCACCTCTCTTCTCACCTCAACCTGCATGGTTCTGTCCTTGACTGGTTCAGATCGTACCTCTCACACTGTCTGCATGTCTGCACTTCATCTCTACAAGCGTCTTCTCCTCTAGCCCCACACTGTTCCGTGCGGCGTTCCTCGGGGCTTTGTCCTTGGTCCCCTCCTCTTCAGTGTCTCTACGCTCCCTCTTAGTGACATCATCCACAGACATGGGGTGAATTTCCACATGTACGCGGAAGACACCCAACTCTTATCTCTCTGACTCCACCCTCGACCCCAGAATGTCTGACAGACATCAAGTCCTGGATGAGAGCTAACTACAGTTGAACATCAACAAGACTGAGACCCTCCTGATTGCCTCCACATCAGCGCCTCCACACCTCAGACACTGACAGCATCACCATCCAGCTTACTAAGAGTCCAGAACCTTGGCGTCTTCGTTGAGCCTCAATTATCCTTGCCACCTCACATCCGTGCCATGTCCCGCACTGCCTTCCCCCACCTTCGCAACATCACCCGGCTCCGCCACTGTCTCACACCAAGTCCGCTGAGACCCTCATACACGCATTCATAACATCCAAGCTCGACTACGCAAACTGCCTGCTTGTCGGCCTCCCCAACTCCTCTCTCCTTAGGCTGCAGATCATCCAGAACTCTGCAGCCTGTGTCCTCTCCTGCACTAGGCTCCACACACCCATCCTCGCCTGACTCCACTGGCTTCCCATCACACAGAGGATACAGTTCAAGATCCTGGTTCTCGCCTTCAAAGCTCTCCATGGCCTTGCTCCCCAGACCTCTGTGACCTTCTAACCCCCTACTAACCTGCCTGCTCCCTCTGCTCAGCGGGCTCTGGCCTGTTTCTCGTCCCCCACCTCGCCCGCCCCACCATTGACTGCCCCACCCTCTGGAAATCCATCCCGCAGTCCTTCTGCCTTGCCCCCTCTCTTGCCTCCTTCAAGATCTGTCTCAAGACCCTCCTCTTTGAACGTGCCTCTGGTCACCCCCCTGCCCTCTACCCTCCCCGACCCCCAGCTCAGGTCCGAAACACTGATTGTCCAGCGCCTTGGGATGTCCTCCCAAAGTGAAAGGCACTATACAAAAGTAATTTTGTTGTTGTGGTTCTGTCCCACCAATTTAGTTGTTATTGCAGTTACCGAGTGTTTGTTTTGTTCACATTTATGTTCCATTTATTTTGTTCGTTTGGTTGCTGTTCATTGTTGTATCCTTATTATTTTTATTGTAAAAGATCTTGGTAAGAAGAGTGCCAAACTCCTTGTTGGGAATTTAAGACTCCTGAAGTTACAGGAAATAGGCACCAGATTTTTTTTAAAACAAACTGCCTTTAGTGCCCTGCTTGCATTACCTGGAAATGTACTCGGTTCCTTTGGCTTTTCCATGAGGATGTGGAAAGTAGGAAAGGTTTCATGGTCATGGCTGTGGTTTACCTAAAATCAGTGCTGTTTACAGTGCAATCATTGTTAGTTCTATTCATATTTTTGTTCTATTATTCTATTGGGTTGGTCACTATTGTTCATTGTTCTACCACTCTGTCTTGCTCCATCTCTCTCTGCCTTTAAATCCCACCTCAAGTCCTAGCTCTTTGCCTATATTTTCTATAATATATAGACCCTATCACCTCTTCTTTGCTCGGCGTTCAGTTCCATCCCTCTAAAATGCTCCGAGATGTTGCCTTATGTGAAAGACACTATATAAATGCAAGTTAGTTGTTGTTGTTGTTTCTAGGTTGATTGTAGATGTTGTTGTCGATAAACACCTAATAATTACTGGAGTGATTAATTCCTCAAAGAATTAACATTAAAAAAATTCTAGCTTAATAGAATATATTCCCCATCCCCCATTTAGCTTCTACACTACTCTTTATGCAAAAATTAAAAATACTATTGCATTCTTTTCTTTACAGTACATTTTTTTTGTCTTGATCCACAGCGATAGATTGGTCCTGGTGCATATATGTGAAAACGAGGAGCCTAGATTGTAAACATGATCTTATGAAGGGATTCAGATAATATTAACTTATTAATATTAATACTGAGAGGGGATACATTGTCATCTAAAGAGTGAAATGAGATTTACTGCCTTGAAATCATTCAAGGATACCTATATGGTTTAAATATAATGCATTATTAAATAATATATACATAGATATAAATAATGTTATTTGTTGTCGATGTTCACCTCATAATTACTGCAGTGATTAATCCCTCAAAGAATTAACATTAAAAAATAACTTGTACATTAATAGAATATTTACAGGGATGGGGCTGGACGCAGAACAAAGGAGAGAAGGCTGAGTCTATATTTTATACAAAATATAGGCAGAGAGGTAGGCGGGACTTGAAGGCAGCACTCGCCTTGGAAGCGAGTACAGTATATTGCTATGTGCAAGCTGGCTGCCACGTTTTGCCCACAAAATAAACAATCAATCCACTTTACAGTGATTTGCTCTGAAATTTCCACAGCAATGAATTGGGTATAATGGGCTGTGATTTGCACTGGAGCCAGGCTCGTGAGATTGCCTTGAGGACGTAGTTGTGACAGAATATTGATTTGTCCCAGGACAGCAAAAAGCCAAGTGGTGCAGATTGATTTGCTGCTGCTCAAAATTGGTTACAGAAAAGCGCTCGTACTGAACCTCTACAACAACTTTTCAGGAACCATTTCAAGCCCCACATTGGGACTTGAGCTCCTAGTCGAGCATGACACTCCATTGCAACAAAGAGCTGTCCTGTAGATGAACTTTAACACACTGTCCCATCTGCCCTTTTTACATGGATGTTAAAGATCACTATTTGAAAAGAAGAAAATGCGGGGGTTCTTCAAATGGTCGTGGTCAACAGTCCTCGAGGTTCAATCACCTCACCATGTGCTCTTCATAGGACCTTGCTGCGTGCAGAATGAATGCCACGTTCGCCTACAAAAGCAGTCACTATTCATGGCAATAATTACTGAAACGCGTTTGAAGTCCTTTTGACATAACATGTTCATTCATGATTAATGTTAAAAGGGCTGGGCATATTGAATTACATTAGAGATAACCTGTACTTTGCGCTGCTTTAACCCTGCTCTACCTACCCATTCGCTTGTACTCTTCTCCGCCAATGGACTGCAAAGTTCTGGAGCAGAACGTGTAAATCAGGCTCGCTGCTCCCAATCACTTTAATGCTGGAAGCGAAGCGAGTAATGAATCACAGTGCAATTGAAGGAGCAAGTTATTATTGACAATAATTTCTGTGTGTTTCTTGTTCTTGCAGGAGAGAAACCGTTTGAGTGCAATATCTGTGGGAAGCACTTTTCGCAGGTAAGTAGTAGAGCAACAACAACTATAATTTGCATACAGCGCCTTTCACGTCGGGAGGATGATGTCTCAAAGCGCTTCACACAACTGATTGGGATCCCGGTGTGGGGTGGGGGGATGAAAGTGGCCAATTGCATGGTCACAGAGATGAGTTTTAAGGGGAGGGGGAGCAGTAAAAAGTCTTATTCTTTTCCAATAAGATTGAACAGACAACATGCTAATGTCAGCCACATGGGTACTCTGCTAAAGTATTGCACTGGATCCTAAGGACTGCTCAACGATTTAACAGAGAGCCTCGGATTGATCCAAATCTCTCTACTAACCTTTGATCTCGTCTTTGGTTCCGGACTCATTTGGCACAACTTGATCCTGCCCTCGCTGTGTTTAAAGCTTACAGCTTCTATTGACTTGGAGCTTTGGGCTTGGAAGATACACCACTCTGGGCCTGGATCACTGGTGGGGAGAAATTCCATCTGGGTCTAGATTTACTCTATTAACATAGCATTTCAGAAAAAATCCTTATTTTTAAAGTCTGTTTTCTGTAGGTTTTTTGAAGCTGGGTTTATGACTGAATATTAATCCATTTCAGGAACTCTCTGAATGCTGCGTTAATAGAGTAAACCTAGATCTAGGTGGAATTTCAGAATCTCTGGCCTCTGCTGCTCCGTTAGATAGGTCACTGCTTCCTCTATATTCTCAACCCTTTTCAAAAACGGTGTTTGAATTCCTCGCAACCCAAAGTACAGTCAAGTCTGTTCAAGCAACCACCTCCATTCAGCAACCGCCCTGGAAAAGTCCGGACAGATTTTGCGTAATAAACCATCTCTATTCAGCAACCACCTGTCTTAACGCAACCAGTGGCCATGCCCTGTGCCTTTGTGCTGACACCCTTTTCAGTGGCCAGTTCTTTATACATTACCTGGTCTGTTTTTTCCTGACATCTTGTCTGTGCCTCACAAAACATCGACTCAGGGGAGAAAGCTACTCACTTTAGAACAGTGAGTGGAGGTGATTGGCATTCGTGAAGCGACACAGAAGAGCAGCAGGAAATTGGCCGTGCAGTTTAACTGCGGACAGACACAAATGGAAAACATACTGAAGTGGAAGCGAGAGATCACAGCACAGCGAACAATGAGAACAATCCACTGCTGGATCGACTGGCAACGAAGATTTAAATCAGCTTTGTTAGGAGTAGTTCAAAGAAACTTTGGCACGTAGGCACCCTGTGAGCAGCAATGTTTGCAAGTTCGTTGGGGAATGTAGACTTCAACAACATTACATTTGTATAGCGCTTTCACGTCGGGAGGATGTCCCAAGGCGCTGGACAATCAGTGTTTTGGACCCGGCACAGTCGACGAGAATGTCTTGAGATGGGTCAAAGCGTCGAATGGATGGCTGGACTCTTTCCATAAACGATCCAACATTGTTTTCAGAACCATGTCCTGAGAAGGACGGGATGTGACACAGGAAGCTGTCGACAGTTGGACTGGATGATTAAAAATGATAGAACGGGTCTAAGAGCAGCTCTTGGCAACAGCAAATGTCTAATACATACAAGGTAATGAGTATCAGAGGTGTCCTCCTGCAGATGGGTCATTAAACCGAGGTCCTGTCCTATATGCCCATTCAAGGGGGACATTCAAGATCGGGTGACCTGATTTGAAAAGAAAATGGAATTGCTCCTGGTTTGCTGCCACAATCCTTCAGAAAAATTGCACATTCATTTGTTTGAGGGACCCGGATGTGTGCAAATTGGCTGCCACATTTGCCTGCAGCTCCACAGTCACTACACATAACAGCAATTCTACATTAAGTGTTTTGCAATGTTATAGGCACTATATGAAATGTAAATATTTTTAACTTGCCCTCTATATATTTACGGAACTTCCATTTGAAGAGTGATCTATTACTTACATTTGAGACTTTTTTAAAAAAAAAGGAACCTAAAATGAGTCACTTGCAAACTGAATTTATCACTGCCCGTTTCGATACCAGATTTCAGCAAAAGGAAAAATTGCAATTAAACCGCTTTGTAATCTACAACGGCATATAGAATAACTCGTAGTGCAATTCAAGGACACTGAGCGTGTCTGAGTTCAGGCATTAATAAACTGAAAGCCAAACATGAATCATCATGGTCAGGAATGTTGTGCTGTTTGTGGGGCACTGCTGTGCGCAATTGGCTTCCACATTTTGCTCAAAAGATATACAGTCACTACACCTTACAGTATATTCTGTGAAGCGCTTTGAGACGTCTCAACGACACGATAAAGTGCTATATCAAATGCAAGTAATTGTACATCTAGTAATACGCTCCAACCTCTGTGCATTCTCTGATATGTTGACCTAAGTAAATGGAGAGAACAAAGTTTGTGGTGGCAGTGTGCAGAGTTGTCTTGTAGCAGTGGCCATTTAGACTAATTGTGTAGGCTGAACTTGACACCCTTCTTGAAAGCTTCCCAGTTGATAGCTAGGGTGAACCAGTTGTTGGTCTTAAGAGAAATATCTTCTTCCTTCAGTACTGGAGACTCCGTGGGCCTGGAGGAAGGCTTCCTTCCAACTATAGTGGCATGAAACCATGCACTGGGGCTCAGTCTTAGGGGTTGGGGACGATGTTTTCATTTAAAGAATAAAGAAGAACCTAAAAGGCAAGTAATTTGACTTTAGGGCTGGTAAATACCTTTGTGCTTTTGGGTTTAAATTTTGTTTGAAATTATTCATTTTAATCTTTGCCAGGCAGGAAATCTCCAGACTCACTTACGACGGCACTCTGGTGAAAAACCATACATTTGTGAAATCTGTGGCAAAAGGTAATGGTGATAAGTGCATATTTGCGAACATTGGTTCTTCTGCAAAACTGGAGGCAATGGGCAATGTTTTAATCTCATTCTGTTGTCTGACAGGTTGCAAATCACAGATGGGAAAGAGATAACAGTGAGTTTGTCTCAATGATTAACCTGCCAACTCTAATCCCACAAAATCCTTTAAAATGTAAAATGGGTTTTATGAAATTCCGTCTTTTTTTAAAAAAAAGACCAAAGAGTTTTTATTTGGCTCCTCCTGATCTTGCTGAATATGTAACCCATGTGCATTTCACATAGACACATGGGGAGAGGCAGCAGGATAATTTGGTTTCCCATCTGTAAGGGAAGATATGATTTCAGAGAGGACAGTTCAGTCCTTTAGTAATTACTTTACTGTTATTATAAGGCCATCACTATAGCATTATCTCTATGTTGGGTATCTAGACCATGGGTCATTTACAATAATCACAAATTGGTCACTTCAATCCACAACTCTTTGTGGGACGCTGCTGTGTGAAATTATGCAGTCAATTCACTTTACAGTATATTCTGTGAAGCGCTTTGAGATGTCCCGAAGACGTGATAAGGCGCTATATCAAATGCAAGGATTATTATTATATTATAATGACGAATAGATACAAGGTTATACCAAATGCTGGACTCCCAAGGACTACATCGTCCTGGATGGATGCAATTGTAGAAGCTAAACATTCACTAAATGTATTTTTATAATAAATTCTGGCTGAATACTACAGAGAGTTACAAGAGAGTCCAGAAATTACACACTGATCAGTAGGATGTTAAATACCATTCCCAGTCAGCTTGCTGAAGGTAAACATGGGGGGCTAGATAAAGTTTCCTGTTACAAACATATTCTGGACGTATGTTAGTCAAATAGCATAATAAATAGTGAAATGAATGTGTGTCAAATCAATCTCAGCACTGAGATTTGAAAGTCGATCTGTATTGCAAAGGCTGAACAGGTGCCATTGCGTGCAATTGTGGCGAGTACTGGTTTTGTCAGAAATTCAATCCGTCTCACAAACCAGTGTAGTGCAGCATTTAGGTACCTGATCACTGGGGTTGTTGTATGCACCAAATCATCGGCTACTAAATTCATACTCAACAAGAAATAAAGGCAAACTTAATAGGTGCACAAATGCTTTCCCTTTCTCTCTCACTTACCAATCGCGCCCCCACTCCAGGGGAGCTATTTTAAGGTATTAAAATCGCGCTGATTATTTTGAAAGATTTGTGAAAATTCTTTGGTAGTGGTCCTTTCTTGTAAACCATCGTCCTTTTATTTATTTCAGATTTGCTGCCTCCGGTGATGTACAGCGCCATATTGTTATTCACACAGGGCAAAAACCTCATCTGTGTGACATCTGTGGTCGAGGTTTGTCTTCGGCATATTTTAAAACTCTTCTGTCCCGTAACAGCAAAGAATATCTATCTCTAGTTTGCTTCTTCTTGTTATTAAAGTGATAATGAGAGTTCCCACTTTTTTTTGCCACAACAGGAGGCAATTCCATCTAGTCTTAGCCTTAAAACTGTTTTGTCTTAAAATTTAAAGATTGTGCAGAATTGTGGAAAATCTTTAGATTCAATCTCGATGTGGAAATTGGTTTCCAGAGTAAGATCACAATCTGTATGGATTTCAATTTCGAGGCAAAGTGGTCCTCCAGGCTAAGTCTAGATGGAATTACGGACCTCCTAAAGGTTTTGCTCTATGCTGGCTTTCAGGATTTAAGCCTAATGCTTTAAGCCGCCAACAAATTGAGAATGTGTCTAGAGAAGCAATGAGCTACAGTAAATGCCTTCACAAGTGAGGTTGGACCGTACATCTCACAAATATGAAACAGCGACTTGCATGTATATAGCCCCTTCTTACAAGGTGGCATCTCAGAGCACTTACCAATAGCTTTGTTTGATGCCGTTACATCTATTTCACTCTTGGTTATTCTGCTTTGTTACACTTTCAACAACTGACATATAAGCTGTCAGAAAAGTGAGTGTCTGCAGTGTTTACTCAGCCTTCTTATGCGCTCTCTCTCTTTTATACTTGTCTCTCTTGTTCCCCCGCTGTCTCCCCTGCCCGCCCCATACACACACAGTTTGTAAGCTTCCCCCTTACTGCTAGATTGAAACTCCGGGAGAAGGTCAAAAATACAGTGTTCTGTTCACTGTTTGGTTTCAATAATATTTATTGGAGTTTCTGGTGCGATGTCGTAATGGCATGACTTTATGCTATCCAACATCTTTTTTTTTTGCCAGTTTTGTAGCCCAGAAGACAAACTCAGGGCTGTTCTTCTCACGAGTCAAATGCTAGGATAAAAGAGCACAAGAGTGGACCAGTGGTTACTGTGATTTCCCCTCCTCACCCCATGCTGCCTATGTGCGAGTGCCTTATCTCTATCTATATGACCTTTCTGTGGCAGTAGAAATCAGGTCCTGACATAGTAACAAGCTACTTTCTGTCACTTGGTGTATTGGTGCTATATTCAGTTGATTTGGCATATTGGTGCCAAATAATTAGAATTCTGCAGGCTCTTCTGAACAGTTTCATGCTTAATATTAGACTTCAGTTGACTTATGCTGCACCATGTCATACTTTTTAAATGTTGCTACAGGTTTCAGTAACTTCAGTAACTTAAAGGAGCACAAGAAGACCCACAGTGCGGACAAGCTGTTTACCTGCGACCAGTGTGGAAAATCTTTCAACATGCAGAGAAAACTTGTCAAGCACAGGATCCGACACACAGGGGAGAGGCCATATAGTTGCTTAACATGTGGTAGGTACTTTGTGTTATTGAGCATTGGCATACGTGGACACTTTGGATTTCTCCCCTCAAGTGGCTCATTCAGTACAATTATTACTGTGTGCTATGTTCAGAACTGTTATCTGCACCTTAATGCACAATAAAGGATGCCTATCTCTCTTCACTCTCCAAGCCAAGATGCTATCCAGCACCTGCACTAAAGACGCTGTAAATACCGATCGAGGTAATAATAATCCTTGCATTTGATATAGGGCCTTATGTCATTGAGATGTCTCAAATAATAATAATAATCCTTGCATTTGATATAGCGCTTTTCACGTCGGGAGGACGTCCCAAAGCGCTTCAAAGCGCTTCACAGGATGTTACTGTCAAGAGGATTGACTGTATTTTGTGGCTGCACTTCACAGTATTTCCCATGAAGTCTTTTGAGACACTTGGCCCCTCTCCCCCCCCCCCCCCCCCCCCCTCACCTGATGTGAAAGGTGCTATATCAATCGCACCTTTCGTGGTGTCCTGACCAACAATCCCCCAAAATAAAAATAGTCACTCACTCCATGTAAGGGAGTACATGTTTGTGTGTTATTGCTGTGCACAAATTCATTGCCACATTCACGAATAAAATACATACACTTCACAGTATATCTGGTAAAACATGTTGTGACGTCTCGACGACATAATACTATAATTCTATAATTTGCAGTGATTATTATTATTTGATATGGGGGGGTTGTTGGCTTCCTTGCGAAGAGCACCATTCTTGGGGATAAAAAGATGGCTGTTTGGGCTTGACCGTAAACAAATTGGCTGGTGTGCATGCAGCGTGTGGCAAATATTAAGCAACCTGTCTTGATTCAACTTGCAGGAAAACGCTTTGCTGGATCTGGGGATTTGCGTCGGCACGTGAGAACACACACGGGCGAAAGGCCATACAACTGTGAAACGTGTGGCAAGTGCTTCACCCGGTCTGCGGTTTTACACAGGCACAAGCGAATGCACTGCAGGTACAACGGAGAGAACCAAGTGAGGGACGAGGAGGTTGACAGCGCGGAGGAAAACTCCTGCCAGCAAGCTGCAGAGCAAAGGTCACCAAACTCTGAGCCACTTGGTCAAGCTATGCAGGTCGCTTTACTGCCTGTAATGGACAAGCTTCACTCTGAACCAAAGCAGCAGCCTTCCAGTGCAGCGAGCGAAACCTCAGCTGGGCCTGAAGACGGTCACTCGGAATACAGCTCTTTGGTCCAGCAGCAGTTAGTGGGTGATCATCACAAGATGGTCCTGAATTCTGTTAAAAACCACAAGCCTGAAGCATCCCACCCAATGCACACTTGCTCCGTTGAGAGCAGTCCAAGACCTGAAGAATCCCTGGCCGCCCAGAACCCGTCCACCGTGCGATCATCAGTGACTAGTTTGGACATTCACATTAACGTGCCCTTTGGAAGTCACCCGCCTAATGTTTCATACCGAACAAATGAAGGACCGTTCCTCTCCAGCCTGACACTGTGGGGTCTAGCTATGAAAACTTTGCAGAACGACAATGAATTAGACCAGTGACTGACCTTGATGGTGACTCAAAACATTTGCCAGTGGAACGAATGCACTTTCTTATTTTTGCCGCAATTGCAGCATCACTTGAAACGTATTTTTATAAACTTTAATAAATATGATCCAAACAAGTTGCAGTTGTATTGATTTTTGAGCCTCTATGTGCTTGTGCAAGGCTGATTATGAAACGAGAATAACTTTGCCCCCGCAGAAATCAATTCTCCAGTCGCTGGTTTCATTGTAAGTGGCTTGGTGATTGCAATTCTATGAGACATTAATTCGAGGTCTCATCTGCCTGGTCATGGGGATGTTAAATACCCTATGACATTATTTGAAAAGAAATGGGAGATAGTCCTGGCTGACAATCCTCTCCTAGCTTTGAGCAAAATAGCTGCTATGTTTGCCTACCACTTACCAATAATTACTGTAAAGCATCTTTAGATTCCGTAGCTGCTAAAAATGAGGCAGATTCAAGAGGGAATGAACAACTATTTAAGTAGAAATTGATTGAGGTGTGTAAGAGAGACCGGAGAATATTTTGTTATCTGGTTTATTTGACTGCATGGATCCTTTCCAGACCTGAATTTTTTAAAGAAAAATAATCAAAATTAATTTGTCTCCAGCAGCTGAGGGTTTTAAAGCTGCATTCACTCCACAAGGTGGCAGTATTGACTAGGCGATTGCAATGCTTAAAACGGCAACAGTAGGTATTACACAGTGACTACAAGTCAGGTATCTTACATTCAACAAACAAACGTGTCTCATTTGCATGCTATGACACAGTTATACAACTTGGTCATTTATCATTACAATGAGAACTTGTTCCAGTTGCTAATTGCCCATTAGGTAAATAAATACTTCCTGGTATCTGTCCTGAACTTGCCCTTTGCAACTGTAAACCTGTGTCCTCTTGTTCTGCTGTCTTGGCACATTAGAAAATACAGTTTCTGGGTTTTCTTAATCCCATTTAAAATCTTGTATATCTTCATAAGGTCCTCTCAGAGACATCCGCTTTCAAGACCGAAGAGACCATCAAGCTGTTTTTCAAACGAGTCCAATGTCCTGGCTTTAACCACATATCTTGGTAACTTGATCCAGTTGGGAATTACCCACGGGGTAAAGAAATACTTACTGAAATTGCCCTGTGCAACTCTACATCTGTGGTCTCTTGTTCTCTGGTGTCTCATTGTTACTCATTCTTCTTCTAGCACTGGGGATCATCTTTGTTGCTGTCCTCTGCACCATCTCTGGGCCTGGGTAGTCCCTTTCTGTCACGGCGAGTAGGGCTGGACGTCTAATCTCAACTTTAGTGAAAAAAAGACTTAACTTCTCAAGTCACAAGAGGAAGCACTTCTGCTCGGAGAGAGAAGAAAATTAAATGAAGTCTCTCGCTCCAGGCGTTCCCTACACAGCCTGCAACATCAGCAGAGGCCTGGGAAGAGCTTAGCTGTCCAGTTTGGCTCAGAACAGCACAAAGGAAAAAGAAATCCTAGAGCGATGGTAAGTGCCAGACATCCGGCTGAGCATACAAAAAATGAGTGCTGGAGAAAATAGTAAGCAATTCCAATTCCTGAAAGTGATATTTCTTTTTAAAAGTCTATTTTAGCAACATGCGAGTCCTAGTTTGGTTTACGTGTGTCGCGATTTCTATGGTTCTAACTAAACTAGATTGTATTTTGATCAAAGTGTAAAGCAACAACAGCAAATCAACATCACATCTCATTCTTGCTGAATTTCTCCTCCAAATCTTTCTTATTCTGAAGGATTTGTATTACTCTTTTACCAGAAGGCTTTTTTTTAATTACATTTATTCTTTTATCTGAAGACTGTTTATTACTCTCTTATCCTTCGCGTGAGTACTATTATGCCATTTCTTTGCCCAAGTGGCTATTATTGACAGTGAGTGTTGACAGCTGACTGCAAGGATTATCACATCCGAGCCAAATACTGTCCTCACCTGACATCCACACGCACACTTTGCAGTGGGGGATCTCTGGATAGAGAGCAGAAACCCAAGATTTTTCAGTGTTTCCTTAAATTGCTTTCACAAGATTGGTTTGGATGAAGAAGGCCCTTTGGCCTATCCAATCCCAATCTTCCAGAACACCCACCCAACTATTCTTTCCCCCACTCCCCACTCCACCCCTCCATCACAGCGTCAAGCTGCTTTTCAAACAAGTTCAGTATTCTTAACTCAACCATTCTTCCTGGCAACCTGTTCCAGTCATTAATTACCCTCTGAATACAGAAAAATCTCCTGGTATCTGTACTAAAATTGCCCTTTACAACTCTAAAGCAGTGTTCTCTTTTTCTACTGTCTTATTGCATCATTATTATTATTATTAAAGAATTGATCCTTCAAATTTAACATGATGCCGAATATTGTAAATTCTTAAATTTCGTTTCAATTTGGAAGCCTGTTTCCTGCAGAAAACCACTGAGGAAAACTGATGCCAAGTCAAGAATGCATTTTAAATTATTCTTAAATTTTAAGACAATAGTCTTAGGACAAAAAAAATGTGGAATTTTGGGACTTTTGGGGAGGAAGAGGAGGAAACCTTATATGAATTTCATTTCCTTAATCCAGGGATATTGAGGTGAACCAAAGGACCCAAATGTGCCCCAGATAAGATCAGTGAACTCAGCACAGACAGTCCCTATAGCCTAATGCTGTGGAGTCTTCATCCAGCAATAGTACATAAGATGCATTAAATTGGCTGCAGTGATGTGTAAATTACATACTCTCCAGGCGACAGATCTTAGATTGGAGTCCTGTAGTGTAGTGGTTAGAGCTCTTGCCTCGCAAGCAAGAGGACTCGGGTTCGATTCGTGGGCAAAACGCAATCGTAGGCGGGCTTCCTCACTCCCCACGCCTCTGTTTGCCTAATAGTAAGTAGGAACCTTGTTCTTAATCGATTGGTGGATCACTTTTGGGGTAATAATTCCTTCAAAAAACAAAATAAATAAATAATAACAATTTGGTCACTCAATCCACGACTGTTTGTGGGATACTGCTGTGCGCAATTGGCTGCCGCGTTTCGCCTTCAAAATATACAGTCAATTCACGTTACAGCATATTCTGTGAAGCACTTTGAGACATCTCAGGGACGTGATAAGGGACTCTATCAAAAGCAATAATTATTATTATTATCTTAAAGTGGAAGGTCAGCCTGAAACCAGCAATGTGATGTTCTCACTCATTGTGTTGCATCCGTGCCATGACCCGTTACTTCCAAGAGGACATGCAGAAGGAGAGATTTTGATTGTTTTGCACCACACGTTTGGAATGTATAAACAGCCTTTAACTGGAACCCAGTCACATCAAGGGATGATCAAACAGCTCAGCCTCCAAGTAGGAAATAAATCCGTCAGATCGTTTTTTGACCCTTACAGCCTCTGCAGCCCGTGCCCTCTCCCACACCAGGGTCCACAAACCTATCACCCCCATCCTCGCCCGACTCCACTGACTTCCAATCACACAGAGGATACAGTTCAAGATACTGGTCCTCATCTTCAAAGCCCTCCATGGTCTCGCTCCCCCCTACCTCTGCGACCACCTAACCCGCTACCAACCTGCCCGCTCCCTCCGCTCAACGGGCTCCAGCCTGCTTTACGTCCCCCAGCTCGCCCGCCCTACCATTGGTGGGCAGGCCTTCTGCCCTCATCCTCTGGAACTCTATCCCGCAGTCCCTCCTCCTCGCCTCCTCCCTTGCCTCCTTCAATACCCTCCTCTTCAACCATGCCTTCAATCACCCTCCTTCCCCCCCACTCTCCACTCAACCCGATACCCCGACCCCAAGATCAGGTCTGAAACACTGATTGTCCAGCACTGTGGGAAGTCCTCCCGATGTGAAAGGCGCTAAACAAATGTAATTTTGTTGTTGTTGTTGCCTGTTCTTCTGTAGGAGCAGCAATTGCATGAACAAGAGTACCCACCCATTGACAGGCTTGAGCTGTGTACACTAAATGGACTCGGCTGCCAGAACAAATTTTCTCTGTCTGAGGAAGAAGATCTTGTGTCCCAGAGCTTCACGTGAAGCTGAGCACTGAGAATTGAAATGACAGCTGATTGGAGTGGGCACTAACACTACAGCCTCAAACCCTATAATAAATGTCTTTTTTTCATACACAGTGCAAGCAGAGTGCAGGCAGTTCTGTTTCCAGGCAGCTTTTGCCTGGAAACAGAATATCTGGGGGTCAGATCTCTGGACTGCAAGTCACTCACAACCATTTGTCTCAGTTGGTTGGATTTTATCTGTTTTTAGTGAAGGTGTTAGATAAGGGAGGATGGAGAGTACAATACAATATAATTTACACATCAGGAGGATATCTCATTGTGCCTGACACTGCTGGCTGGGCACCCGAGCTGGGGGATGGGAGCCAAGGGGGTGTGGGGAGGGGATAGATGATTGATAGATGGTAAAAATACATTTTGAGATGTGCCTTGAACAAGGGGCGGGAGGGAGTGGGTGAGTTGGAGGGAGTAGAAGGGAGGGAGTCAGAAGGTCTCATTGGTTGGAATTCCAGAGAATGGGGGAGAATGGTGGGGCAGATAGGGAGAAGGACATGAAAGCAGGTTGAGTTGGGAGTAACTGGGTTGGGAGTGGCTGGGTCAGTATAGGTGAAGGAGGTCAAAGAGTTAGGGTTGGGTGAGACATTGGAAGGATTTGAATGTGAAAGCATGGATTTGGTGGGCAATTGGAGCCAAGCAAGGCTGAGGATAATAGGCTCACAGAGTCTGGTATGGGAGAGGACACAGGCTTCAAAGTTTTCGATGGTCTGCAACTTGTGTAGAGAAGATCTGGAAAGTCCGGCAAGCAGAGTGTTGGTGTAGTTGTGCCTGGATGTGATAAAAGCGTGGATGAGAATCTCAGCAGTCTGAGAAGAGAGATAATGGCAGAGGCAGACAATGTTTTGGAGGTCAGGAAAAGCTGAGCGGGTAAAAGCATGGATTTGGGGTATGGAAGACAGTTGAGAGTCAAACAAGATACCGAGGTTCTGCATCAGGTCTGAGAGGTGGACGTTGCATCCACGCAGGTTGATGCCGTCAGCACCTGAGGTGAGAAGGCGCTGACAGGAACCAAGCAGGAGGTCCTCAATATTCAACTGAAGCATATCCAGGTCTTGATGT